AGGACTACAGATGCATGCCACAATATCCAACTAATATTTTCTATTTTTAGTAGAGACAGGGTCTCCCTCCTGATACTACTCAGGCTAGTCTTGAACTTTTGACCTTAAGTGATCCTCAAACCTTGGCCTCCCAAAGTGCTGGGATTACAGGCATGAGTCACCATGCGTGGCCAAAAATTCTTTTTGATAAAGATCTTAGGAACTCAAAAGATGATGCTTTTACTTTCTGTTACCTAGAATTTATTTTATTCTTGAATCTTCTTACATAGAACTGACTTATTTATTGTTGAACATTGATTGTGTACTCCAAATTGTATGTATCATAATACTGTGTAGTATACATATATATGTAAAACAGGGATTTTTGTGATCTAATCTGGATAAAAGATGAAAGATAAAAAGACTCTACTTATTAAATACAATAACTGTAAACATCTCTAAAATAACTATAGACATAAGCATTAGTGATTAGGTACAAAGAAAACCTATTGTTCCTCTTCCCAAAAAGAATTTAAAAAATTAAAAATTATAAGAAATTTGGCTCAGTGCTCATAGCACAGTGGTCATGGTGCCAGATGCTTACACCTAGGCTGATGGGTTTGAACCCGTCCTGGGCCAGCTAAACAACAGTGACAACTGCAATAAAAAATATCCAGGCATTGTGGTGGGTGGTAGTCCCAGCTACTTGGGAGGCTATGGCAAGAGAATCTCTTAAGCCCCAGAGTTTGAGGTTGCTGTGAGCTGTGACACCGTAGCATTCTATGGAGGGTGACATAATGAGACTCTGTCTCCAAAAAAAAAAAAAAAAAAAAAAAATTTAAGAAATTTGGAAAAAAAAAAGCATATTTATCATGCAAATTTCCAATTACTATGTAAATATTTTTTAATTATTTAAGAAAGTATACATTAAATATAGTTAAGTAGACATTTTAGTTTTTTCCTACTGTTGTAATGCAATAAATACTTTTAGATTTCTCTCCTTCCCTTCCTTTAAACCCCACACCCATAGCCAGTTTGTAATTTTACTTGTAAAAGTTATTTCTGTTAAGGTTTTAGGCAAGTGCCTCAAAAAACACCTTGAAAGGTTTATTTTCATTATTTCCTAAAGGATTATTCAGTAAACAATTTAAAGTGCTTTTTTAAAAATCAGGAACTGTAGAATATCTTTTCTTACTAGAAAGATATTTGTATTTATTTTACAAATAATGGAACTTGAATGTTTACTTAGTGCTAGATTTTGTTTGAGATGCTTTATATATGCTTGTAGGCATTATTTTATTTAATTCTAGCAAAAATCTTTATTAGTAAAAGTTCTGTTATTGTTTCCCTTTTCTGAGACAGGGAATTGAGTTTTAGAGGTTAAATAACTAGTTCAGATAGTGCCAGTAATAAGTACTTTGAAAAGTTATGGAAGCTTTATTGCAGATAACTTATAAAAGTTATTTTCAAGTTGTGTTTTTCAACTTTTTCGTTGCTTAATGTAAAAGTAATATTGTATGAAGAATAAAAAGGCAACATGTTAGTTGCTACAAAGCTATCATAAAAATATTTTTAAAATCTCAACTTTATAATAGCTTTCTTGACTTTAATAATAATAATTAAAAATTCTTTTCTAGGGCCAGGTGTAAAGACTGCCACCTGTAATCTCAGTGTTTGGAAGGCCATGGCAGGAGGATCGCTTGAGGCCAGGAATTCTGGACTAGTTGGGCAATATAGCAAGACTCCTGTCTTTAGAAAACATTTAAAAATTAGCTGAGCATGTTGACATAAGTCTGTAGTCCCAGCTACTCAGGAGGCTGACGTGGGAGGATTACTGAAGCCTGGGACGTGAGGCTATAGTGAGCTATAATTATGCCACTATACTTCAACCTGGGTGACAGGGCAAGACTATTTCTCAAAACATTGGCTGGCACTGGGAGGCCAAGGCAAGAGGATCACTTGAGGCAAGGAGTTCTAGACCAGCCTGAGCAAGAAAAGACTTCTGTCTCTACAAAAACTAGAAAAATTAGCCAAGCATGATAGTGCATGCCTGTAGTTACAGCTACTCTGGGGGCTGAGGCAGGAGAGTTGCTTGACCCCAGCAGTCTGGGGTTACAGTGAGCTGTGATGAGGCCACTGCATTTCAGCCTGGGTGACAGAGCAAGACTCTCACTCAAAAAACAAAACAGAAACAGTTTTCTAATCGACATTGCATTGGCAAGTCAACTTTCTAAAAATCAATTTCAGAAAATCACTTTTATCCCTTGCCATGTTTAACATTAAAGAACATGTTAAAATAAAACTCCCTGGAAGAAAAAATCACTTTTAGTTTATTCTTTTTCCTTGTATACCTTACAAGAGGATTTTTCCTCCTTATTTTTTAAGTTAGTCAGAGCTGTAATGCTATAGGATTTCAAGTCAAAATTTATTTGAATTTAGCTGGCAATACTTTGTCAGTAGTCTTAGTAATGATAGGTGATGGCCAGGGAGTCTGTGGTTTATATTCTGAGTTGTTTACACTAGCTGGTGTGTGGCTGAGCCTTAATTCTCTCTTTGTAAGAAAGTGGATCAGAAAGGATGACTTCTGTCATCTCCCAGCCTTCTGTCCCCTCCTGCTTGTCACACCGTTGGCAATACCTACTTACTATTTGTTGAACACCACTTGCTAGATCCTATACCCAGCAAACGGCAGATACTAACTTATGTAATCCTCACAACAATTTGGATTATCATTCCAGTTTTAGAAATGAGAAAACTAAGGCTGCGGTTTGTTGATCAAGGTCAAAGAAGTATAGACAGAACTTGTGTTAAAATTAAGGTTTTTAAAAGATTCTGAAAGCCTATGCTCTTTACCCCTATGCCACACAACAGATGAATGGAAAAGCCATCTCAGTAGTTGAAAAAAAAAATAGAACAAGTGAATTGAAAGATTCTGTTACAACAGATTACGTCTTAAATGACTAAGTCTTCCTTTCCCTATCTCTTCAGCCCTTTGGGCAGTTTTTGTGAGGTTTAGCTTAGCTTGTCTTCTTTTTTACTCTCTGCTATCTTACCCACTGCTGAAATTGCCACCCCATACAGCGCCTCTGCCTTGTCTCCCTTTCGTCATTTGGCCAGATAACTTTTTTATAATGATAACAGGATGATAGCTGCCAGCCTACCTTTTTCTTATGGTATTTTAGGTATCTTCTGGTCTGTTGCATCACACTGATGCGTGATTGCCGTAGGTAGCTCTGAAATCCTGTGTAAGATGTGTAAGACTTCATTGTGTAAGCCATATAATATAAGGTCAGATTTATTGAATTTTCCTCTGAGAAGCCTCTTCTCAGATTTTAAGAACATTGATGTTTCATGAACACGTGTTGTGCTCCAAGGCACACTTGCATAAATTATGTTATTTAATAATCTTACTCATCTGATACCTTTTGTCAGGAGAAAAATGTCTGCAAATTATGATGTAAAATATTCTTGTTAAATTATTTTACTAGATGAGGCCAGGAATATTTGGTATATTTATATATTTTTTTTTTTTGAGACAGAGTCTCACTTTGTTGCTCTGGGTATGTTATAGAGTCATAGCTCACAGCAACCTCAAACTCTTGGGATCTGGCAGTGCCTGTGGCTCAAGGAGTAGGGTGCCAGCCCCATATGCTGGAGGTGGTGGGTTTGAACCTGGCCCCAGCCAAAAACAAAACAAAACCAGAAAACCGTCTTGGGCTCAAGTGATTCTTTTGCCTCAGCCTCCTGAGTAGCTGGGACTATAGGCCTCCACCACAACACCTGGCTATTTTTAGTATTTTTAGAGACTGGGTCTTGCTATTACTCAAGCTGGTCTTGAACTCCTGAGCCACAATGCGTGGCTGTTTTTAGGGGGTCTCACTATTCCTCAGGTTGGTCTTGAACTCCTGAGCTCAAGTGATCTGCCTGCATTGGCCTCCCAGAGTGCTGGGATTACAGATGTGAGCCACAGCACTCAGCCCTTGGTATATTTATGTTAATGATATTAGTGGGTTATTTGATTTGTTAACCTGTAAGAAATCTGTAAGCTGATATTTTAGGTATTAAAGTACTATGTTGTCTTTAGAGAAAACCTAAAGATAGTTTATCTTTCCCCCAACATATAGCTTTACTTATAGATCTTATTTTTATATATTTCATTGTTATTTTCATCTATAACACTAAAATGCTTTTAGATTTTTAAATTAAATACATTTTGTTGAAAAAAGTAATTATGAGGCATTTTCTTCCCTTTTTAAAGATTTTGATGGATCATCAAAATCTGTCAGAACATGTACTCTGCATGGTTTTATATCTGATTGAATTAGGACTTGAAAATTCTGCTGAAGAGGAATCAGATGAGGAGGTAAGTAGTTTCTTATATTTAAAAATTTTTCAAATGCGGGCAGCTAGTCGTTGCCATATCAGACATGTCATAACTTTGCTGATTATGTCATGTTAAAAGGTCTTTTTTTGATCTTCAAATACATATGGTCTTTTGGAGCTTTTGTTCATATATTAAACTCTGATTATGTGATTATTGAATTTGTAACTTATGGTTTATATCATAAAAATTAATCTAAGAAAAGTAATGCGTTTTTGTTTGCACTAAAAAGTAAAGTGACTGTAGATAACTTTAAGTTATCTTTTTTCCTCTGATATCTAAACAGCTTCTTCATCACTGTCACTGATTGATTATTGGTAAATAATTATTAAGTTAGGACTTCAGTCAGAAATTCTAATAATTTGAATAGAGATTATTTTTGAGTAGCAAATTCTTTCTGTAAGGATTTTAAGGTAATGGAATGAATGTTGTTAATGTAGAAGAATGATTAAAGTACTTAAGAATACCAGTTGTTAATGTGTATCATTAAATAATAAAAGCAATTGTTACTACAAATTAATTTTTACAAATGTGAAAGGTTCTTTTTTTTTTTTTTTTCTGAGACAGAGTCTCACTATAGTGAGCTCCCAGTAACCTCAAACTCTTGGGCTTAAGCAATTCTCATGCCTCAGCCTTCCAAGTCGCTGATTTATATATTTTTTTTTTTTTGAGACAGAGTCTCACTATAGTGAGCTCCCAGTAACCTCAAACTCTTGGGCTTAAGCAATTCTCATGCCTCAGCCTTCCAAGTCGCTGGGACTGTAGGCGCCTGCTGCAACACTGGCTGTTTTTTTGTTATTGTTGTCATTGTTGTTTAGCCGGCCTTGGCTGGGTTTGAAACCACCAGCCCTGGTACATATAGCCGGCACTGAGCTATATGCGTTGAGCCAAAAGGTTGTTTTTATCTCCTCCCTCCAAAAAAGACCAAATACAACACAGCACAATAAGGACAACAAACAAACAAATTAAAAAAAAAAAAGCAATCACCTCAGTAAGTTCTTTTGTAGTTCAGGTTATGTCAAGATACAGTTTTTCATAGGTATTAAAAGGTCTTTAAAATTCCTCTAAGACTAGGTCATACTTTTGGTTGAATTTTTTCAGACTTTCTTTCACAGTTAGTCAAAACTAACATTATTTGACTGTATTGTTACTTATGTGTTTTGATAAATACTTTGTAATGATGTTTCCATATTGAAAAATATATTTTTCAGGAGACATTTAACTGACTCAGTCAGACTTTTCCATATTACTATTGAGAAACTTATTTTTGTATTTTGTGTTTCTATTTGGTTTTTTAAATTTATCTACTTTCTGCTTTGTGGATGAAGCTATAAGGAAGTCAGGAATATGACAGGCAATGGATCATTATTTGGGCTTGTTCCACCTCCATTGTACCTTAGATATGACATGACAAGGTTTGATATTCATTATTTTTATGTTGTAGGCATTAGTGGGTGGACCAGAACGTTGTCATGATAGTTGGTTTCCAGGCAGTAACTTGGTGTCGAACATGCGGCATTTTATAAACTATGTCAGAGTGAGAGTTCCGGACACTGCTCCTGAAGTGAAGAGAGACTCCCCTGCAAGTACCAGCTCTGACAGCTTGGGGTCTTTACAAGTAAGTCAAGAGTGAGAAGGAAAAGCTTTATGTCGTGTTGGGACACACTGTTTAAATTATCTGGTGATATCCAAACATATTATGTGGTTGAAAAAACTTTAAGTTATCTTTTTTTGCTCAGCAGAAAAACTTTTATTATCATGTCACAGATGTTTGTACAAATAGTGTCCATAAAGTTCGTGTGCAATTTAAAATAGACGATTTAGTCTGTTTTATTTTACTTTTTAAAATTAAATTAAATTTTTTTTATTGTTTGGGATTCATTGAGGGTAAATTATCTTTTATTTTTTTGTGATATATCTAAGCAACTTCTGCCTCACTAGTCTCTTTCCTTTAATCTGCCAGAGTTCACGACGGCCTAAAGTTCTTCAAAGAGAGGTAGATGTGTATGATATTTGCATTCACTAGCAATATGTCTTTAACTGGAAATGGGGGAAAAATCACTTAGAAGTATTTGTGTGTGTATGTGTGTTTAATATTGTTAAATTTAAAAATTGTTTCTTTAATAATTTATGTGTGTTTTTTGTAAAGTATTTAAGCTTAGTATTAAAGAAAATTCATATTATTGAACTTAAAAAATAATGTGGGGTGTTTGATAGTGGTTTGTTCTTATTAGTATTAGATGTATTTGGACCGATTATAGGTGGCACATTGGGTCTGTTTGTATTTAGCATTGCAGCTGTATTACTAACATCTTAAAAATGACTTGGATACTTTTTAAATCAAATCAATTTTATTACTGGAAGCATGCTCATTTAAAAATAAGTTTTTTTTTTGCTTCTGTGACAATTAATTAACTTTGATAAAATAAGCCCATAAAAGTCTTTAAACAGTATATGTTGTATATTTGGACTCATTTTGAAAATTGGCTTTCTCATTGCATGTAGGTTAATTTCATTAATTTTTTAACTTTTGAAAAGCAGAATTACCTTTAAATAGTATGCCACATAACTAAACTTAAGCACTTCTGATCCTCACAACCTAGATTTTTGTAAGTAGAGAACATTGAATCAGGCATTTCTCATAGTAGAGTCTATTCATAGGAGCTTTCTTTGTCTTTGACATATTTTTACTGAGAATGCTGTATAGAGTTTTAATTAAAATATTGGAACCTCTGTAAAAGGGTTTTTCCTCTAATGCTGGTAGAGAGTACTTTAGAAAACAGCTTGGGTATGAAGAAATAGTGCATACTGTACTTAGACTCATAAAAAGCCTAACTGATAGTGGGGCTTTTTCTATATTTACTTTAAAATAATTAAGGAAATCCATTAAACTCACTCATATCTTAATTAAAAGGTGATTTCTAAGAGCCCTAATGCAGTTTGGGTACTTTAGGCTGTTTAGAAGATAAATTGATGAGAAAAACATTTAGTTAAAAGAAAATTTGTTCAAATAACAAATCACAGTGATAGTAAAATATGAAACAGATTAACTTGATTTTTCTTTCTTATATTTTACTTTAGTAACTTTGAACATTTATGCTAGAAGTAATTTTCAAACTTTGAAGCTTCTTAAAAGTAAAATTAATTACCATTTCAGATTCATCCACTTCGAAAATTTTTAAAAAGTTAATTTGTAATTTTTTTCACTGGAAATTGTAGCAGTCCTTCAAAAATTTGTAAAGAGGATTGTGTACTTGATAAAGGTTGAATAGAACAGCTTTTCTACCTTTAAACTGATGAGGAATTTAGTTTATGATTTCTCTTCAGTATGACTAGAGATGTTACTTAATTCTGTTTTCTCAGATAGACAGACTCAGGAGATTGAGAAAGAAATGTTACTGCTGATAATCTTTTCTCGTTACCATTTCCAGACTGAAAGGGCCTAAGTATATTTGAGAGAGTGAAAGGACAGATTTGTTGAATAAATGTTTGGGTAATCTTTGAACATTCCTTTTGGAAAATGTAGTATTAGTATGTTTTAAAATTATTAAATAACTTCTCTTGATTTTTCTTTTTTTTAAATGGTAGAATTCTGGTACAGCTCAAGTTTTCAGCTTAGTGGCAGAGCGCAGAAAGAAATTTCAGGAGATCATCAATCGCAGTAGCAGTGAAGCAAATCAGGTGGTTCGTCCCAAAACATCAAGTAAATGGTCTTCTTCTGGTTCAGCTCCGCAGTTAACTACAGCCATTTTGGAAATTAAAGAAAGCATATTGTCTTTGCTAATTAAACTTCATCACAAACTCTCAGGGAAACAAAATTCCTACTATCCTCCTTGGCTTGATGACATAGAAATTTTAATCCAACCAGAGATTCCTAAATACAGTCATGGAGATGGCATAACTGCCGTAGAAAGAATTTTACTAAAAGCTGCATTACAAAGCAGAATGAACAAACGCATTATTGAAGAGATATGTAAAAAAGTGACCCCTCCTGTACCACCTAAAAAAATCACTGCAGCAGAGAAGAAAACACTGGACAAAGAAGAAAGGTAATTTTTATTTTTAATGTTTTAAACCTATGGTACAGTTAAAGATCTGGTATTTTCTCCCTTTTTGGTCATCTAAAACTAAATAACCTAGATGTTTAATGGCAATTGTCATAGTTGATTAATAAGATAAAAGCATGGCCAGTGCTTGTGCATGTAATATGATGAATTCATTGGGGGAGACAAGATGAGAGTTTTTGACCCCAACATTTAATTACTACCTTTGGGACAGGATGGCACGTACCCATCTGTAGTCCTAGCTACTTTGGAGACTGAGGAGGTGAGACTAGCCTGGATGATATAGCAAGACTCCCTCTCTACAAAGAATAAAAAAATTAGCCAGATGTGGTGGCATGTGTCCATAGTTCTAGCTGCTAGGGAGGCTGAGTTAGAGGGATTACTTGAGACCAGTAATTTGAGGTCATAGTGAGCTATGATTGTGCCACTGCATTCCAGCTGGGGCAACAGAGCAAGACCCCATCTCAAAAGAAAAAAAAAATTACTATCTTAAATCTCTAGGCTCTTTTGGAAAAAATTGTTATTGCTGTTACTATTTTGGGGATTTAATAATTCTCTCATTCTTTTCAAAAACTATTATCAATTCAACTTTATTTATTTATTT